AAGAAAAAGAGAAGGAAAAAGAGAAAGAGAAAGAGAAAGAGAAAGAGAAGGAAGACGGTGGTGAGCAACCGACCGGATGACGGGGTCTGGGGTCACGGATGGGCGGCGGTAGGACTGGTTTCGGACCAGTCAAGAAGAGAAGAAGAGGAGCTCTCTGCTCTATCTGTCCGGGCTTTACGTGCCACCTTATACCGGGTGGGAATGTTCGAAACACCGAAACGCGCAACCCGTGAGAAGATCCTCTCTTTCTCTCTCTTTTTCTCTCTTTCTCTCTTGGCAGATCTTCTACGATCTTCGGAGATCATCGTCCTCTTCTACTGGTCAATCTTGACGGTTCACTAACTTCAGTTCCTTTTTCTATCTCAATTTCTATCCTATGTTACGGTAAATAACAATGAAACTTGTTTCAATTGAGTTCAACAATTTTTTTATTAGGTAATTAGAATATTTATTAATATTAAGGTGAACACATAAATGTTCGTGCATTCATTGTGTTATTTCAAATATTTCACAATTGTTTTTCGAAGTTAATAAAAATACTTTATATTCAAGTTAATTAAAAAGCACACGAACTTTTGGTTCACCCGAATATAGTAAAATGCGAGATGTATTTGGAATTTAATTTAAAAAAAAAAAAAAAAAACACAAATCGTATGAAGGAATTAATGATAATTATCGAATCGATGAACAGAAAATGGGAGAAAATGGTGATAGAGGAATTCGAATGGAATGGTGAGCTTTTTATTTGTTAGTCCTCGAATGATATTTCCCTCGTCCTCTTTCGGCGTGTCATTCAGCACTTGTCGAAGCATACCCAACCAATCATACAGATTCGAATCGTATCTCGCATTTCGTGATCGCTGTCGTCGCTCGTATAAATCATTCTCGCGTGTTCGCACTCGTTTTTTCTACGCTCGCTTGCCAGTAACCGATCCCCGAGTGTAAAATACGCGTTTTAGACGGATCAGTGGATTTTTACGGACGATAGAAAACAAATACGACAAATAATTTCGATCATTTCTTCCTTCAACCAAAATAACCATTTTCTTTTCTTTTATTTTTTTTCCTCCCATTTTATCGCTAATAAGAAAATAAAAGAACGAAAAATAGAAAAAGTAGGATATAAGAAATAAACAAAATTGTTTAATTGTTTTTTCTTTTCTTTTTCAAAAAATACATTTTAAATTAAACTTATAAATTTTGAAGAAGAAAAAAAAAATCGCGAATTAATTAATGTTAAAATTGTAATAAGAATCAAGTGGAAAATGTAAAAGAAAGTTCCAAGACGCGTTGCATAAAACTGCATACGAATGATATATACCTACACGAGTCTCTGTGTCCCCAAGCATCTTCTCTTCTTCCTTTGAAGTAAAATTTCGAGAGAGACAGAACGACACAGGGTGATGGAGGGGAGAAAAACGAGGGAGAAAGTCAAAGCGTACGTGAGAAATCGCAACGACAGCACTCGTGGTGTTCGGTCCTTCAGAGGAAGGCCCCCGGCTTTCATCCGGCGGAAATCAAAGTCGGTGCTTCGCGGTAAGATCAAAAAACTTGCAAGGACCTCCCTTTTCCTCCTCCCCTTTCTCCGCTTACCCCTTCCCTGTTTTTTGAAGGATCTTTTGAATCCCAATACGCGCTAAGCACCGAAGAAGGATCCTTCTTAATTTCGCGGATCCTTAATATATCAACTTCTTTACCATTCTACTTAATTTCAAGTAACCAGAATGAAGTTTTGAACACATAATTTTATGCAAAATATGTTAATCTAGTCTATCTTCTTTCATTCAAACGAGACAATTCTAACCTAACTTATTGTTCAACTTAATAGAAAAGAAAAAAAAAAACATCAAGTAACACGAATCGATTTGTAACGCGAGTAAAAGGACAAAGATTTGATACAGATAAGAAAATAAAAGTTAAAAAAAAAAAAACCCAGAAAAAAAGAGAAACACGACATAATAAATATCCAAAAAAGGGAGAAAGGAGCTGAATATACGCGAGGATCGTGAGAATCTGGTCAGATAGAACACGAGGGAAGATAATTCGAGAAAAGCAGACAATGTAAAGAGGCCATGGGCATCGTTGAGAGTCCCAGGATGATCCCGAGGGATGAATAGAAACGATCCTATTTATCCAACCGAGGAGATGACTGCCGTGTCTCTCGAGCTCAAGGTTCTCGTCATTTCCAACTATGCAATATGCTATCATGGATTTTTATAAGCACACTTCTCCTTTCTTTCTTTCTTTCTTTTTATCTTTTTTCTTTTTTTCTCCTGCTGGCTGTTTTTCTTCTTTCACATCTCTCCTTCATCATCTTCTTCATCTCCTTTTCCATGGATTTTGTTAAATTTCAACTAGTAGCTAGTTACATTCCCCGGAGCCGTTCTCGAAGCCGTTCCCGGAAAACCGGACGTGCTTGAATACCTTTACTCACCCATCTAACAGAAGAGACCAAAGTTTCAACTTTACTTCTTCCATCTCTTCCTTTAATCTTTCTCCTTCTTTACTTCTTCTTTCTTTCTTTCTTACAGTTGTTTAAAATGGATCCTGATTATTCCAAATTACTCCCAAGAGTTTCTTTTACTTCTTCTTCTTCTTCTTCTACTACTAGTACTATTACTTTACTACAAATTTCGTAGATCTTAGAGTATTTATCTACATTCCTCTTATTGAGATTCGGTCTGTTAAATCGATTAATCTTTTTCTTTTTTCAATGACATTGAACTCGAATTGTGATTTGGGTAGAAAAGAAGAAGAAAACACAAAAACATATCGTCAAACTCAAGGATCCATTTCTTTAAATATGCGAACACGATTGTCATCTTATTTTTCAACACACCAATCCCTACTCGATAAATCGAAATCTCAAACTTTATTTAAAAGTCCGATACCCTTCGAAAAAAGAAACGTATCGACTAGGAACTTGGAAATTTATCTGATTTCATTTCGTAATCTCGTATTTGTCTTTTACACTTTTAGAATCGAACAAATTCGGCGAGAAATCGTTGAAGAATATTCTTCAGAAGATTCTGCTGCTGCTTTCCACTCGTGTTTTTTACACGTGAACGTTTTTTAACATGCCAGAGAGGTGTTCGTTCAGAAAATGACACGTGTTCGTTCAAAGGGAAAGAGAAAGAGGAAGAGAGAGAAATAGAGATAGATAGATAGATAGATAGAGAGAGAGAGAGAGAGAGAGAGAGAGAGAGAGAGAGAGAAAGATAGAGGAATCATGCAAATTGCTCATACATTTTGGTGGTTGCCGTTTCTCGAGAGCCGTTGCAGGAAATTGAGTCGAGTGTAACGAACCATGAACAGCTCGTAATGCTCTGTCAAAATGACCTTCTCTAAAGGTGGACAGTAGAGAATGAGAATGAGAATGAAAGAGATAGAAACGGACAGATAGACAGACAGACAGACAGAGAGAAGATAGGCTGGTGCTACTTCTGCTGCTATTGCTGTCAAGCAAGGCAGGCGTAAAAATTACAACATCAACCATAGAAAGAGAGAGAAAGAGAGAGAGAGAGAGAGAGAAGACACGTTGAAATCTCGTCTTTCTCACCCAAAAACGGATACTTGAAAAATATCTTTTATATTATGGATACCATATGAAATTTAAATTAGGTATATACAATTGAAATAGATTAACATTTCTATTTCTATTTTTGTTGGTAGATTAAAATATCAATAAAGTGTAAGAAGGAGAAGTTTTGTAATTTAGAAATATTCTAATTCGTAGACAACTTAAAAACAATTCTTTTATCGGTTACTTGATGTTATTAAAAAAAAAAAAAAAAAATAGTAAAAGTTTTTACTTATCATCCTAGTGTAAGTAAAATATTTGACCAACAATATTTTTATAAACATATACTAATTTTAGTATATAATTAATAATATAAAAGTATAATATAATATAATTGGTAATTATGATAGTGGATTAAATAAAAGAAAAAAAAGTTGAAGAAATGAATTTTATTATTTATCACGTTCTGTGCTATGTGTACTGCCATTGATACACGTTAAGGGGTTATATACAGTTAGACGGCCGAAAAAAAGTGAATTTTCCAGAATTTTTTCTGAGAAACCTTTTAAATTTATTGATCCAAAAATTTATACACATATTATGGTATCTTTTAACTGTATTTTAAGACTTAGTACTAGTAAAAATATTTATTTGAAAAAGAGCTACAGCTGATCTCCAGGAGCTCCTCTCAAAAAAAACGTTTTGCGGTGACCACTATATCTCGGAACTGGATCATTTAAAATTAAAAAACCAAACAGATTTCGTTAAAATAATGTTAAATCTAGTAATTAATCGAAGGAATAAGCAAAATAAAATTTTTTGACAAAATGGCGGTTTCTCAAAAAAAAAAATCGATTCTTCACCGAAATTTCGGCCTTAAATTGTTTATAAAAAAAAAAATATCTATTGGAGAGAAAAAATCTTCGATTAATTACTAACAAATATATTTAAGAAGGTCGTGTTAAAATTTGAGACTAATCGGTTTAGCCGTTTTCGAGTAATGTTGGTCACCGACTTTGATAACACCATTTTGAGAAAAACGCGTTTAAAGTTTGGAATGCACTTTGCATTTACTCTGAAACGCTTTTTCAAATTAGCTTGTAACTTTGAAAATATTCACCGGAACGATATGAAATTTTTTGTGTGTATTCTTAAATATATGTACATTAAGAAAAAAAAATTAAAAAAAAATCGATTTTTTGAAAATTCTAACTGTATATAACCCCTTAAACTTGATCTTCAGGCCACGTGTACTACCGGTGGTACCACTTGGACAAATTTATTTAATGCGCTGAAAATTAAATGGTCTGAACGACAAGTCAGGCAAAAAGGGCTTGGCACGGAATGTGTTGTATTATAATACAAATATATAAAATTTGTTGGCTTATCATTGGATCCCACTATCATAAATCACCGAGACACATAATTATGTGAATAAAATATATAAAAAAAAAAAAAATAAAATTGAAAATGGACTTACCTCGAAGTATCTGATAAAGGAAGACCTTGATGTGATCTGGGCTGAGGTGCTGTGGGCTGACGATGATCTTATGAAGATCGCTTTGGAGTAGCTCCGTGATCACATATCTATGTTGGTACTGATTAAGGAATTTATTGATTATATGCTCGAGCAAGCCACGTTTATACGCTATTAAATCGTCATTCGGGCCGTTACAACGACGTAATTAGATCGTGCCCGCTTTCCATACCTACTACTACGATTAATTGCTTCGTTTCCATCCTCAAAGTCCTACCATCCTTGTTAGAACGACCTTAATAAACGCTATCGAATCGTCCTTTGACGTGAAATCAACTTTGGAAGACCTTTAATAAACTACCTGTTTGCTCATTTTCATCTTTGTTTCTTATTTATACATCGATCATTATAGGCAAATAATTATGTTCCATATAAAATTACAATTTTTGTACTCGATGAAATGAAAACTTTTATAAATTCATGTTGCTGCTTTTATTTTTGTTTTTTGTTTTTTCTTCTAAGAAAATGAATAATGAAAATTGTAAATTTATTGGTATAATCAAATAAAAGATATTTAGAATATAAAGCGTAAAAAGTTTGAGAATTGAAAAATGAAAATTGTAAAATATATTGACTGGTAACGAAAGTGGATAGTCAAAATGAACGGGGGAAGTTGGTAATTTACGGATTTAAGCGTTGAAGCTTGAAAAGAGAGAACCCACAACTTCTCTACCAAATGAGAAAGAGAAAGAGAAACGAGGTCGCAATGGAGAAGCATGAGAGTGTAAAAGAGAACGGAGGGGGGAGGATAGGTTGCTTGCCACCAAGGGGTAACATATGTAACTATCAAAGTTGCTAGAATTTTTGTCAGAGATAAAAATTACTAAAAGAAAATATTCACACATTTGAGAAGAACGTTGTATGTGAAAAATTAAACAAATTCTATATAATTTAGAACAAACAAAAGAAATTAAAGCACAGATTTTTGAATTGGCACTCTCGTGCTTTTTAATTGATCTATTAATTAAATTTTAATTGAAAATCGTAAAATTGTACATTACAGGATTCGACGTAATATCGAGGTATGGGTATTAATTGCAAAAGAGAAAAAAAGAACAAAAAAAAAATAAAAAAGAAAACGAAATGTCATATATAGTACGAATTCGATAATAAAAGAAACATCGTTTAAGGCAAAACGTGAACTCGTTAACGAACCAGTTTTCTAGGTATGTGTTAAGTTTAGTTTCAATTTGTAACGAGTTTAAAATGTGTGTATGTGTGTGCATGTGTGTGAACATTATTAAACTTTATATCTGTAGTCTTCCTCATCTCTTGTATCTAACACGTTAAAATTTGGGTATACCGTTGTAACGGAATATAACCAATACATATGTTATTTATTATATAATATTAATGTATTAATTATTAACATTTGAGTCTTTGTTCGTTGCAGGTGGTGTGTTTGCGCGTAGTCGCGGCTTTATATTAGCTTAATTTTAATCAAGGCTAATTTTACTATCGATGACGAACCGATCGTTTTACACTACCGTTTTATCAAATAAATAGTAGATTCGCGAGGAATATTTAATTGGTCACATATTCGTTATCTCGTTTAAACAACAATAAATAATTAAACGGATAGTAATATATGTCTCTTGTATCTAAACGTAAATAATAATTATTTACTTTACTGACCAATGAACAATGGTCATAGATTAAATAGTTTAACGTTTAATTAATAGTTAAAGTTTCAATTAAGTTGAAATTTAAAAAATTATCATTTCATTATAATAATAATAATAATAATAATAATAATATTATAATATAAATAAACCCATTAAAATTCAATTAAAAGTCAATAAGCTAATATATTTTTTGTTTATTTCAAAATCTTTAGTATTTTTAATGTTTAAAGAAAAAAACCACTCATTAATAGATTTGTATATGAAAAATTTCGACACTACTTTTATTGACCAATTGAATAATTTTGTCGAATTTTCGTCGAAATGATTTCTCAACATAAATCATTAATAAAAGATTAGTTTTAAGTTTCAAGGATTTATGAAATAAGAACAAAGGGAAAGTGAATTAACTATTTTTTTTCTCTCTATACTTTTATCCTTTCACTGTCAACATCATCGTCATTATCCTTTTCGTCGCGTATATACGGCCAACTTGAAGAAGAATAAAAGAAAAGAGCGAACACGTTCGAGGAAAATGAAATAGTATAATGGCGGAATGAGGTCGACTGGTAGGTTGGAATGCAGGTAGAGGCTGCTTGCGAACCTGGCGTGGTATGCAAGTCGACTGGTCCGGTTGGCTTCGACCTGAAACGCCTAAACACCGCCGAGCCAATATCGTCCTTCCTCTTTTAACCCTATTTCTATATTTTATATTTTATAAAATACGTTTCATCATTTTTTCCTCTATGATACCTAAGTTAAATACGAATGTATTATTAAATCATAAAATTCTACCTTGTACGGTATCGTCTTATGATCGATCTACTCAATTTCTATATTGAATGATCTCATACTCACGCATACACACATACATATAAATATATGATATCATGCAATGAGAATAGTTGGTCAGTAACAGGTTTCGATTCTAACCGTAACCTGTTTTTAGTTTATGCAATTATTATTAGATCGTATTTGGATAAATTCGTTGAGGTTATAATTCGCGGAATGAGAATCGGGGATTGGTGATGGTGGTGATGGTAGTAGAGGTTGATGTGGCGGTGAAAAGGGGCATAAAGATATTGACTTCGAAATTAAAATTCAGCAATCATTGGAAAGCTTTATGGATAGTAGTAAGCAAGCAGAAAGATTGAGTTTGCTCTGATTACAAAGATACGTTTCAATCTGGTTGGGATTTCGTGTTCTAACGTTAGCCACCTTTGATAAATTGGCTAATTCAACGTCATATTGACGAGAATTATACGTTCATTTATTAAAGGTATCGGTAAAGTTTGAAGCTTTAATTACAATAAATCGAGTTAAAAAAAAAAAAAAAAAGAAAGAAAGAGAGAGTTAGATGGAAGTAATGAAAATTGAACTAGAAAGAAATTTTAACAAAATTCTACAAGATTGTTTGATTTGAGCACAAAAATTCGTTCAGAACAAAGTCGGCATTTTTGAAGAATAAATGTAAAGACAACAAAAAAAAAAAGATATGTATGCAAATATGATACGCATTTAGAAGAAAATGTTCAGGTAGAAAGATTAGAAAGTATCTTTAAAAGAGAGAAAGAGAGAATAGTGAAAGCCTAGTCAAATATAAGAGACTCATTTAGAGAAACATATTATTATTTGGAGTCTGGGTGGCAGAGACTGAATGCTGTGCTGGAGGCCGATTGGAGGATCGATGCGTGCCTACCTCCTGGTAGGCACGTCGACCGGTTCCTGGACAAAGCGACTTACCCCCAGCAGCAGCAGCAGCACCAGAACCAGAACCAGCACCAACAGTAACAGCACCAACAGCCGCATCGCCGGAAGCCGCACTGTTGGCCGCACTGTTGGCCGCACTGTTGGCCGCAAAGTGTTCGCGAACTCCGAGAGCTTGGAAATCGAGTATCCTGTCGTTCCTCTCTCCCCCTTTCCCTTCTATTGAAACCTCCTGCTCCTCGCATCCAACTCTTTCTCAACTCTTCTCCTCGCATCCAACTCTTTCTCAACTCTTCTCCTCTCATACCGGTCTAAAGAGGAAGAAGAACAACCTGGAAGACTTCGTCGACTTTCCATTGTCCTAGCCTTGGAATTGCGGAAACTCTCATACAATATTATATTTATTTATTTATTTGTTTTTTTTTTCTTTAGGTTGAGATCAGATTTTTTTTTAAATGGTTTAACGATCAATTCGATTAGATGTAGAAATAAATCCCAAAATTTAATAGAAGTTTAATAATTTTGAGAAATGTTAGGATCACTGATGATTACAAGTTGGTATTAAATATATAAAGATTTCCTATAAAACTATACCAGCTCCTATCATCAGAATCTTTGTTTCAAAAATGGAACACTAACGTCGTAAAAGAATTTAATAGAAGAAAATTAATATAATATGAAAATAGAATCTTTGTTCAACACAACAAGTCCTAGAGAATTGAAGATACGTTATTAGAGATTATCAGTGATTTGTACATAAAGTTGTCATCGAAAATGATAAAGGTTGTTGATAATGTAGATCAATTGTTATCGTTAGGGTCATTCTTAAGAACGATTCCTTTGTTAAGTGAACGTGTACAACAAAGAAGAGGAGGATGACGATGATGAGGGCTGAAAGTCCGAGGTGTTCGAGCAAGGCCAATCCGGCCCGTCCGACCGGTCAACCAAGTTCGAACACGGCCGGCAAACGACTTCGAGAACTCGACGAGTCTTTGGATTCTACGCGTTACTCTTTCTCTCTCTTTCTCTTTCCCCTTGTCTTTCTCTCTCTCCTTTCCTTTATCTCCTTCTTGGTCGACGTCTTTTGCCTTTCTTCTCTCGTTTCACAACAATATCCAAGAGAATTTTTTGAATCCGACAAATCCTGATAACGTTAAACGTTTAGGTATTCCTATTATCCTTTTTTTCTTTCTTTCATCTTAATCAGTTAACTGTGGTGCTCCGTTTTGAAAGTACGCAATAATAATTCGGATTGATATTCGATTTCTATCTCTTATAACAAATTCATCTATTTCATTTGAATAGGTGATTCGAAAGTCGATGAAACACTCTGGACAAAGTTTAAAATCAAAAAATATTTCATTGTAATCAATAGCATTTGATTAAAAAGATTTTCAGCAAAACATCGAAATGCAAATAACGGTGAGTAAAGAGGGGGAGCGAAGAGAGGGTGGTGTAGGAAAAGAAAAAAAAAGGAATGGATTGATAGACACAGAGAGGCCAAACGAGATTAGAGTTAAAGCAATTTCTGGATACACAGATGTATGACTAGGAGTTGCACGTTACACGGACAACGAACCAATCGGAATTTCAAAGGCATCGATGCACTACACACAGACACATAAAACATACCACGTTAACGTAACGTAGAGTTGTTCGTTGCGTCGTTCGTTACGTTGTTCAACACAACGCCGACAGTGGAGCGCGAGCATTATGCGAGC